AATAATAATAATAATAGCAATAATAATTTTATTATTACAATAGTAAAAAATTTAATAAATCTTACAATACAACATTTATAATATATCTCTCCAATATATAACGATGATAATGATAATGATAATGATATACAAACCATAGCTTGTAAAGTTCCTAAACCCGCTGCAAGACTATCCAAATTTTTGTCTATCTGATCTTCTAATCTATCATCTTCCTCATCAGCTTCAAATTGATATTTTGATCGATTAGTTGATTGCCCAGGTTGATAATGAGATGACATGGTATTATTGTTACTGGCTTGTTTCAATGCATTTTCGATATTTTTTTTCGATTCCCAATTTCCACTCCTCATTTGTTCACGGCTATCTCTTTGTTCTTCTTGTAATGCTTGAATACGAGCTAATTGTTCAGCTTCACGTTTCTTCTTGGTAAATGGGTTATTAAAATCAAATCCAAACATTGAGCCGTTAACCTATATAATATATGTATGTACACGTATATATTAAAATTGTAAATATGTAAGTACTAAAGACTTGCTTTTTTTTTCAATTTATTAAATTATTTTAAAACTTGCTTTTTTCAATTTGCTAGCGTTATCGGCAGCTCGTTGAGCATGTATTTCAGCAAGTTCCAATTTATTTTCAGTATAGTTAATACGTTCTAATTGATTAATAGATTGATAAATATGTATATATATAAATATATAAATAAATAAATATAAAGCCAAATAAAAAATATAAGGGTGCTCACGTGTTTGTTCACCAAGCTTATTTAAAGTTTTTTCTCCACTATTTTGAGCCTCTTGAATCAATCGCAAAGATCGTTGAGTAGAATTAACCGAATCTTGTTTTACCGAATGAATTTGTGATTTAATTTCTTCAACATCTTCCTCTGTTTCACCTTCTTGTTGTTGTTGTTGTTGTTGACCATAATAATCACCAGGTCTTGGATACCCTCCTCCTCCTTGACCATAACCATAACCGCTTTGGTTGTTGTTATTTGTTGCACCTGCAAAAAGTTCATTTCTTGAACTACTGTTATTTTGTTCACGAAAACGACGAAAGTCATCCATTATTAAAAAATTTTTTATGGAAGAGAAATAATTTTATTAATTGGCTGTTTTAGGGTGATATTGATATTTATATGCGGTGCAACAATAGACATCTAATAATAGAAAACTTGAGCAAAATATTTATTTTCTTCTTTATTTCAAATATATATATATATAATAAATATAAAATAAATATAAAATAAATATAAATAAATATAATAACAAAAAAAAACAATTTCCTTTTGAATTTCTCTCTTTAAAAAACAAAATGTTTACAAAATGATACAAATAATTACATAAATATTTAAAATGAGTGTAATAATAAATATGATTAAATAAATGAATATACTAAATCGATATAATAATAAATACAAATATAATATATATTAATAAATACTAAACATATTAATTAAAGAAAAGGGTAGAAGGTATTATATACAAGCATTGGTATTATTAGCGTTATTGACATCATAACCATCACTTTTATTATCACCACCACCATCACCACTACTATTA